CCATGAGTACCACCTCTGTCATCATCAAAAAAGCACACAGGTGAGCCTTGCTTTAATTAATCCCAAAACTATATATAAAATATGAGTTATGTGAACAAATTCAGGAGTGATTATTTGCTTTTCCAAATTATCCAATCTAAAGTAATCTTAAATAGTTAAGCTTCCCTGGTGTTTTTAAAATGTGCTTTGATTTACAAACATTTTAATTGCCCAGATCTCTTCAGGAACATGCCTATTTTAAGATGTAAGGCATAACAGAAAGGATTTTCAAGCTGACAGAGAAGGGCAAGCATAAGAGTCCATGTAAGGACTCCTCCTTGATTCATTAAGTTAATTCAGAAGAGTTTTACAGCGTGCACGAATCTACTAAACATTAAGCAGTTTTAGTTGGCCATAAGTCACGGACTGTAAAGGGAGAAGTGGATTTCATCAGTAGTACTCCTATATATAAATAGTATACCTATATAAAAATATACTTATATAAATACATCATATATGTACTTATATAGGTATCTTGTTTATATTTTATATTTGTATACATAAGTATACAATAAATCATATGTGAGACAAATGTATATTATTATTACAAATATCCTGGGTAGGCATGGTGGCTCACACATGTATCCTAACACTTTGGGAGGCCAAGGCAGGAGGTCACTTGAGCTTAGGAGTTCAAGACCAGCCTGGGCAACATAGCAAGACCTCATCTGTACTAAAAATTTAAAAAAATTAACTAGGTGTGATGGTGCACGCCTGTAGCCCCAGCTACTATGGAGGATGAGGTGGGAGGATTGCATGAACCCAGGAGGTAGAGGTTGCAGTGAGCTGAGTTCGCACCACAGTACTCCAGCCTGGGCAACAAAGCAAGACTCCATCTCAAAAAACAAAAATGAAAACAAAAAACAAATATCCTTTTCTAGGTTGTGAAATTTCAGTTAGGGGTTGAAGTAGATTATTAAGAGGGCTACAAATTACTCTCATCTTATATGTATATCCCTTGTGATACAACTTTGCCATTCTTCTCATCAACAAGAAGAGTCTATTTCACTACTCCTTGACTCTGACTCTGGGTTGACTGTGTGATTTCTTTTTCTTTTTTTGAGATGGAGTTTTGCTCATATTGCCCAGGCTGGAGTGCAATGGTGTGATCTCAGCTCACTGCAACCTCTGCCTCCAGGGTTCAAGCGATTCTTCTGCCTCAGCCTCCTGAGTAGCTGAGATTACAGCACCTGCCACCATGCCCAGCTAATTTTTTGTATTTTTAGTAGAGACAGGATTTCACCATGTTGGCCAGGTTGGTCTTGAACTCCTAACCTCAGGTGATCTGCCCACCTCAGCCAAGTGCTGGGATTACAGGTGTGAGCCACTGCGACTGGCCAACTGTGTGACTTCTTTAATGGGATAACAAATGTGACGCAAGCAGAGGTTTTACAAGTGCGTGCACATAGGGGTTTGTTCTCTCTTGCTGATCTAGGAACCCTGCCACCACCTCATGTGATGCAGTTCAGGCTGGCCTGCTGGAGGATAACAGATGATGTGGAGCAGAGATGAGCTGGCCCAGTTCAGGCCCTACCAGAGCAATCAGCTTGCCAATCATGACATACATGAGCAAGGCCGTCCTAGACCATCCGCCGGCCCAGACCAGAGACTCATGAGAAACAGTAAAATGTTCATCATTTTAAGCCACTAGATTTTGTGGTGGTTTGTTATACTGCGAAAACTAACTGATACAATATATTGTATTTTGTTTTCTTCCTTAATATTTATCCATTCCAAAAAGCTTGGGTAAGATGTTTGGTATACTGAAGTCAGAGTTGCCACAACATATGATGCTTCATTTTCTTCCAGTTCTAAAAGCTCTGATTCTCTTATATTATTACGCTTCCTTTCCCAGCTTTGGTCTTTACAGAAGGGATGGGAAATAAAGGTAGTAAAAATGAGGCATATTATTAGGAGTGAGAAGGGAGGTGAAGATGTGAATTAAGGTAGTGATGATAGGATGCTGAGACTAAAAAGAGAGGACAGCACAACTCATAAAGTGTTGACTAACTTCCTGGGAGAAGTTTGTTCTAGTAAATCAGAGTCTCTATGAAACTCCCTGGCAAAGACCCCAGACGTCCCTGTGTTAAATTGCAAACACACATTCTAAAATTCCCCTTATACTCCATTCCTTAGTTCCTCTCAATCTTTTTCACTATCCAAAGTATGGTTTTCTACTTTGGTAGCTAGAATTTTGGGGGCTCCAAGTGACAAAAGCCCAACCCAACCTAGCTCAAGCAAAAAAAAAAAAAGATGGCTGGGCACGGTGGCTCATGCCTGTAATCCCAGCACTTTGGGAGGTGGAGGTGGGTGGATCACAAGGTCAAGAGATCAAGACCATCCTGGTCAACATGGTGAAACCCCGTCTCTACTAAAACTACAAAAAAAATTAGCTGGGCATGGTGGCGCGAGCCTGTAGTCCCAGCTACTCAGGAGGCTGAGGCAGGAGAATTGCGGAGGTTGCGGTGAGCCGAGATCGCGCCATTGCACTCCAGCCTGGGTAACAAGAGCGAA